CAAATTATACCAGGAAATATTTACTCTGATACCTGTTAATACCATGCCAGAGTTGAACATTGGATCGATATATCTGTCAGAGTTTGACATTTCGGACTGTTTTATCATACAAAATATACGATCAGGTAATAAATACTGTCATAACTCTTCATACCAAATCAGAGTTGTTAATTAGATAGATATATATTTGTATGAATTGGACATGTCGAACTGTCAGACGAACATACTATTACATATTGACAACAAACGGTAACGTTTTTTTAGTTGATTTCACCTCCACACAACTTAGTGTCAATCCAGGTACACACCAAATTGTGTTACTATTTCACAGCTATCCTTTCAATTATACTGACATAAAATGTCTCAGAAGTATGAAAAAAGTTCGAGAAATCATTCACACAATTTTATTGAAATCCAAAAAAAAATGTATTTCTTGATGAAACTGATTGTGCATTTCTATTTTGACGAGGAGCGTCACCCAATAGGATTTCTTATATTACCTTGACTTGTGAAACTTGACAAGGGACTGACTAATGTTAGTCGACCTAACCTTATGTCGACATGACATGACAAGAGGGGTCAAGGATACATAATGAATGTAGAAGAAATGAAAATATAGCTTCATCATGTTGATCCTTAGTGAAAAATATATAATTTGATCCCTCTCAATACTAGAATTGAGTCGGTTATTTAATTAATTAATATACCAGGAAATAGATACTTTGAAACATCCTCATACTGAGTAAAAGTTGCCTATTAGATAGGGATAATAGTCACTCAGAGTATGACAATGAAGTAACAGAAGAAACATTGTTGACAGCTGACAATATTTCCTTTCATCCTCTCAACCCTGCATTGCTAATGAAACGAATAACCCTCTCATCAAAAAATATCTTCCTATGTTACCAGCAAATATTCTTCAAGTATTGATTGAGCGATCAACTAAGGTTGTGAACATACTAAAGAACATACTGGAAGTATGGTAGTTCATTTCAAAGAATGGTTCAGAACGTGAGGCCAGATCTAGTTTGGAAACTACCTTGTAATTTCTAACAGACATGCAATTGATCGAAATTCCAAAGCTGAATAATCAGGTAAAAGCCTTCTTGAGTAGTGAAGCAAGACGAACGTCTTACTGGCAAATAAAATCAGGTAAGCATCAATATGAATGCTATATGCTCACTATGTTGAGTTGAAGAGGAGGGATAGTCACCTTCAGTATTAGAGTTGAGAAATGATGCTGAACAGATCTGAAGATTTGACAAATCCTGGTTGAACACCTTCGAACTCCAAGGGTAGGTCACGATAAGTAACTGTTCTTTCTCGTCAAGGGGACAGAACTATTGATATCGAAGCTCATAGATCCAAAGAAGAGGTCACGTGAACAATCATCACCACTACCATCAGCTCGAAGAGGAGACAAGAGAAATGAATACTAGATAATATAAATATTAGTAAATTAGCAGACATACCTATCAGCCAAATTTGAGAGTCAAGGACAATTGATCACTCATAATACAATGATTCCATCCTGGATAACAGATTATCGAATTTTTCCCATGTTGTTGGTGTGCTGGTTGCATATTCTCATGTTGGTCCATTTGTTTGAAGTCCTGGTTTGATACTCCATCAATTCATAAAAAAAATTGTCTTGCATCTCCTACCGGACAGGGTGCCTTCTGATATGAAGGAGTTTCATATATGAACCATCAGCTATTTAAAATCTTTAGCAGATGTCTTGGCAATTCAAAGCGTTACAGGTGATATCAGGAAATCTGAAATTCGGAGGATTGCCCTAGAAGACAATTTCCACATGGGAACTTTCCAAAGCTTTGTAGAATTAACTGAATCCTTCGGAACAAGTATCAATGGAAGACATTTCGGCAAGCAAATATAACGAAGTACAAGAAAGTTATCGGGGAGGCTTATAGATTGAAAAATGTCATAGAATCCACTATTAACATTATACAGGGTGTCCCGAAATAAGTCTGCCAAACTTCAACAGCGGCTTCCACGACGAAAAATGGAAAGAAAACTTTCAATGAACATGAGTCGAGAAATGTCTCCTGAAGGAGCTACGGCCCCCTGAAAGGGGGCTCCTGAAGATGATATTCTTTGAGTATTTCCGAAACCCCATGTGATAAAATGATGCAATTCGGTACAAGAACTGAACTTTCCATGCCCAATGCAGTGAAAATGAAATCATTCCAAAATTGCAGTCAGGAGTGTATAATACAGGGTAGGACCACCTGAGATATTGCTCTGAATTTTTTGTATGCATATTTTTCGACAATTTAATCCTGGATTATGAAATTCCTCAGCTTTTTACAGAAAAAAAGTTCTCGTGTTCCGTGACGATAAGATGTGTTATTATCGAGTTAGAGCAATTTAAAAATATTGTTACATCTCAGATATTATGCATAACATTGCAATGAGGCATAGTGAAAATGGAAAAAAATGCACAAAAATTGAAGTATTCTTTTCATCATCTTCTTTCAATTTCTTGCGCTTTTATGATGTTGTTTGGTAAAAATAAAGTACTTTATTCTTTTAAAGCCACTATGATTTGAAAATTGGCAACGTTATTCATAAGAAGTGAGTGTATTGATATTTTTAAATCAATTTCACTCGAAAATGATACATCTGATCGATGAAATATGCACACGAAAAAGTTTGAGCAATATTTAATGAAGTCCCACCCTATATTATACACTCCTGAATGAAACTTTGAAATGATTTTATGTTCACCGCATTGGGCATGGTAAGTTGAGTCCTTGTACGAAATTGCATCATTTCATCACGTGGCGTTTCGGAAATACTCAAGAAATATCATCTTCAGGAGCCCCCTCTCAGGGGGGCGTAGCTCCCTCAGGGGACATTTCTCGACTCATATTTATTGAAACTTTTCTTCCTATTTTTGGTCTCAAAAGCTGCTGGTAGAGTTTGGCAGGTTTATTTTGGGACACCCTGTATATGGCTCCTTCAGTTGCTACCCTCAAGCGACATGATGTATTATAAGAAATAAGTGGTGTTGTCCTGGCGGAAATGAAGAAATACACCTCATCATTCTCAAAATATCGACTATATTACAATTTCTATCAAAATGATTTTAGGAGGTTGCTGCATAATTAAGTACTTTGAATGATTCCACTCAATTTCGAATCAGAAGATTTCAAAAGTGAACAAAACCATATATCTGAAGTGTTCATATAGATATCCATGACGAAATCAAAGGCCATTCGCTCCTAATGAGTGCAACCTGGTATCAAGCCTTTATTAGTTCTCAACTATCTTAATATTCTGTAAGGAATGGAGACATTGATTCATTGAAACTGTGGAACATGAAGATTGCACGTTACATTACAATAAAGTTAGTGACGAATCAAAGGGTTGATGAAAATGGAAAACTCAGGAAAACAGACTGAAAACATCGGAATAATGACCACACGAAATTGAAGTCGAACATTTACTCAATTATTTAAATAGTAGGTACTTCACAAAAGAGTGAGTGATGTGAACTAACGTTATCGAAGTAAATAGTAGTGCGTTTATAATTGGCATGCCACTTGGCGTTGAAAGATCAGGCACCTCAATTGATATATAAAAAACTGCTGATGGTCTGAAAAATCTGATGAATTTGTCAAATTCTAGAATATACCATTGTATAATGAAGATAATTGTACTAGGGCAATTCTAGGATCAGTGAAATAATGAATTTCAGTAGGTAATCACTATTCATCAGTATGATAGATTGAAGTTTCTATTTTCTATAGCTTAGTTTCTGAATCATATTGTGATTCATATTTTGGAATATAAATGTTATTGTGACAATATGCTGTGAATATCTACACTTGTGATCTCGAAAACGAGGCAGGAAATATAATCACAAGATCAAATGAACTTACTTGAGTGGAGTTCGATCTCACCCTTCCTGAAATTTACCTGATTATGGAAAGATTCAAAATGCCCGATTATGTTTTGTGACAATGTGCTTTGAAGAATGACGAGATTCGAGACGAAGATCTAAAGAGAAGAAAGAAGTTGAAGATAGGAGAAAAGCTTCTAGATGCTCTGATATTTGTCCGCCACCTGGTGTGAAGTTGGGATACTACACCTGTGACCTCTTCGAACAGGGCGGCTCATGAATCAAAATCGAACTTTCCTTAGGTAAATTAGTTTGATCTTGTGATTTTATTATCAAATTCGACCAGTTAACAGTTCGAGTAAAGAAAATAATCGATGGATATAAAGAAACAATTTCGAGAGTCATATATTTCAATATGGTTACCACCAACTGGTTTCAAGTGCACCTGAAGGATCCTAAGAAGGTAAAGTCAAAATGCGAATAATATGATGCTATGTAGAGGACATGGTCGTTCAGTCAATAGTGATCATTATATCTAGTGACGATCACATTAGGAAAACATGTGTCATTGTGTTAAAGGATTAATGAACAAAAAGTACCAGTAACAATTCCATGAGACCAACGAATCAAGTTGAATGTAATTAGATGAGAGCGAAACAATTATCGATGTGACTTTGAATTCATTGAAGTAGGATGAGTAGATTGGAAGAGAATTTACAAGATTCGCATGGAAACTTTCAATAGGTATCACCTTTTCCGAATGAAGTGAAGTAACGAGCATGTTTTCTACATAATGGAGAGGCGCAGACCATCAGGGTGAATAAAATTCTCATAGCTCAACGAAATTCACATTTTCAATAAGCTGAAAAAACTCAGGTGAAGAATTTGATGCCGTAGAACTCGTTTCTGAGTTCTGTATGAGTGGGACCGAATTTAAATATTCACTACTACTAGGAGATAATACTTCAACTAGAGAGAATGTAGAGCAATAATGGGCACATGAACAAATGAGGATGTGAATAAGGGTTGCCTTGGCGAGAGTATTCATTTGAGATAATTTCGATCTGGTATATACCGATTCTCTAAAATATTGATAAATAATTATTCGAGTTGACAAATAAACATTGAAACTCACCTGTCCATGGATCTCCTTTCACGTAATATTCAGAGACCACCATGGTTGTTATACCCCCAGATGCCATGCCCATAGGAAAACTCCCAAGAATCGCAGTCCAAATCAACGGTTTAATTCTCGAATAAACCTTCTTCACTTCAGCTAATGAAGGTAGAGGCCTCCTGGTATCGGCCACTGTATCCCCAAGGTAGAAGTTGAATAATGCGTTATACTTGGTGAAGTACGCGATCACTAGGGTGGCAACAATTATGACGGAGCCTAAATCAAAAACACTTTTTATTATCAAAGGAAGGAAGGAATACTCGGAGTCATGCCCACAAATTTCAATGATGTTGTTACACAACCAGAAGGGACATGTTTCGGTCTCATAAGATACCTTCTGCCTATTTGAAAGTTTTTCAATACAAAACGATTGAAGAATTGCATAATTTTTCCTTGACTCACTTGGAGTACGGAAAATGTGATGATACAAGTTGTGTAATTGTTGTCAATGCCCATAGTCGAGAAATCGAGCTTATAAATAAAGGAAAGGGTTCTCATTGAATGAAGGGCCCAGTGCCCTGAGAGCGCATACAATTCATCATATCGAAATTTGATATAAAAATGGTATATTGAGGGTGATTTCCAATGAGTTTTTTTCACACCATGAATTAGCATGTTTTCTTGAAAAAAAAAAGGGGTCGTCCATGCCCTTATGGAAGCGCTACCCAAAGGAAATATCAATGAAATTGATCGGGCAAACAGCCAGCACCTAATTGAATCTAAACTAATGGGGTTAGAAAACCCTGAAAATGATGTCAAACAGTGACGTAGACAAGACGTTGACATAAGTCAATGTCAATGTCAAGGGACAAAACATGAAATCCCGACAATGAGCACAGGTGTAGCGTTTTTATTTACCAGTACTAAATTTCATGAAACGCCACTGGCAGGTAAAGTCAGTCCTGTTTTGCATTTTCATCAATTTATCTTATTATTCATTAGATGGTCTAAATTTATGCAACCAACATCACTCTTCTTCTCGTTTTTGGTTAAACTGTGTACATGCCTTGTCGCCGACGTCGGGTGTTGTCGGTCGCGCTCGTAACTATCGTTGCAAATGATTTTTGTAATCAAAGTTTCATAATAATTAGCCTGATAATAAGAAAATTACCTTTTTTTTTGTTATTTTATAAAATATTGATTCCTGAGTACCAATAAGCAAACATCCGTGATTGAATAAAATTATGAATAAAAAAAAAGAAGAAGAAAAATGAGCGACAAGTGACAAGTGGAGCATTTCTTTCGGTACAACTCGATTCAGCTCGAGATCTCGATTTACTTTTCTGAAGCAGTAGGATTGATTTCCGGAAAAGAAGGTGACATCTTGATCTTTTTGATGGCTCGTGGAAGGCGGTATAATTTCGATGGCCTTTAAGTAATTAAATTAAATTTCTTCATGAAATAGTGAATTTTCATGAGGATTGTGACTCCTCGAAATAGAGTGCAGCGGTGCAATTGAATGTAAGTGCTGTGCACGGTTTTCATGTGGTTTCTTGAGCCAATGCATCCTGGCATTCCTTTGAGACAACGGCCATGCCGGTTAATTTTTTCGTTCATGCTATTGGTGGTTTCGGCTGCCTCTTTTCGAAATAGGAGCCTCCTATGTACAGGGGTAAGTCATTCACTTCCATCAGGTAGAAAAGCAGGTCGAGATGAATGCAATTTTATAGGGCTCTCTGGGAAAGTGTGACAAGACCTCCATGCTGCAGGATATCTGCTGCCTTGATCATTTCAACAAGACCATGTCATCAGGCTGTGGCATTCTTCAAGGTGCCTTCTGTTGGAGTAACCAGTCTATGTCTCAAGCTCACTGGTCATCACCTTCACCTTCCATGATGGCAGTGGTTGTATAGCCAACCAACTAACAATCAATCCTGATTCCCAATTTGTCACCCTGCATAAATTGGTTTAGCAGCCGTCAAGACATCTTTACAAGCCACTTGTCACGATGGACTAGTAAGAATTGCAGTCATGTCATTTTTTTTATATTTATTTTGTTGACTACCACTACTTTGACATATTCCCCCTAAGAAGCTGAATTTAAAGAAAAATTACTCCCTAAACTTCAATTCATATCAACATTATTATCTGTCCTCCATTTGAATATTATGTGACAGCAAAAATTCATGAATTTTTTCTGCGGATTTTATATTGAACATCATGATGTGTGACATGTTTTGATTCAATGATCCATCATAAATTGAGTTGTACTATTTATATATTAACATATCAACATGGTTTCTTTGTGGACCTAGTCACATAGTCAAAGTGACATTGTTTTCTTTGGTGGTTTGAATCATATAGTATTGGTTACTTATATTTCAATATTTTATGCATATATTATTTTCATGTAAAGTGTCATTCATAGAGGGGATATTAAATTGTAGATATTTCATGGGAAATCTTGTTTCATTTCACTGATTATCTCTCAGCTCACTTGCAGTGAAAATTCATCAAATTCTAGCTCAAGTTTTTCTGAATTTTTCTGATTAATAAAATTCAGTGGCGTCCAAGATAATTGACAATAACAGGTGAGACATCTTTAGATTTAGATCCATGCCCAAGTGCTTCCGACATAGAGCTGTCGTGCTGTATAACCTTTTGGGAGAAAATACTGTTATACATAAATGGCGCCCAACGTGGGGCCAAGTTCATTCACATCACTAGAATTATATTTTTCACCTGTTTTCAAATATTAAACAAATCTCAATTCAACCTATTCACATGAAGCTGCAGAGATATTCACTGAAATGAATTTTGAACACTGAAACTATTTGGCATTTTTTTATAAAAAATAATAAAAAAAAAGTGAAAATTAGAATAAAATGAAATTGAAATCAACTTGGTTTATGCACAGTGATATTGAGGGTGTTACAATAGGCATACTTTTTCATGGGAGCTGCCTTATTTTATGAATTCTTATTGTTCTCATCAGAACATTGTATTTGCTATTTTTTTTTTCAACTCTTTCGACACAGTGACAAAAGAGTTTGGTTATTCCCCTTTCTCGTTTTTTTTCTCTTTATAAGTGGTGTGTTCACTTGTAGGATCTTAATTTAATCTGGGTAACATAAAAAAATGATAAAATAAAAATAACATTAATTTAAAATAATTACTTAAATAAATACATCATTCCTTAAGTTGGATGCAGTGTGTCACACTCAAATATAAAAAAAATACATTTTTTTTGTTCATACAGGGTGAACAAATAAGTTTGACTGATCTTTTCAATTTTTGCATGAGTACAAATTTCAATTATACAGGTAACTAAAATAAATTTTGAGGATGATTATCGGTTGCCTGCGTATGCAGTTTGGAGTTGCCCTCTAACACCCTTGTATATATATGTAAGTATAAAATTTTAAAAATAATCATCCCCGAATTCTAAAATCCTTTTGGTATTCACACAGTAGAATGGAAGTGGAGTGTTTTCATTCAAACCATCTCCTAGATTTCGAGCTAGAGTATAAACTTTTGATTAGGGGTACTAGAACAACTAGGACAGTTGCTGATAAAAGGAAAATTTTAGGAAAATTGTTGGCCAAAGAAAAACTCAATCCAGGTTCTCATGTTGATTTGAGGCAATATGTTTTTGATTCTCAGAAAGAACAATCAGACATTACTAGGACTTTCATGTTAATTACTGAATCCACAATTGACTTTGGTGTAAGTGGTGACATTAGGGATTCAGCATATCATAGAATCAAATCAAGGATTGCTCATGTTACAAACAGGGTTAAGAGATTGTTGAAAATTTTGGATATTCCCTCAAAAGTTCCAGATGATCGAAAGGATGAACTAGTGGCATTTCAAGCTGAGGCTTATGCTACCTGTTCGAAATTAGAGGCTGACTTAGATGACAGTGTAAAAACAGATACAAATGTTCCAATAGTAGTGGCACCACAAAGCCCGATTGTCAATGTTGCTGCACCAATAGTTAATTGTGGTAAAGGTAATCATATTTCAGAATGGGGCATTAAATTTAGTGGTGACCCAAAATCTTTACATCCTTTCATTGAACGAGTTACAGAAGTTGCATATGTCAGAAGAATCAGTACAGATGACTTATTTCTCAGTGCTGTAGAACTTTTTGTTGGCGATGCTTTTGTGTGGTATCGCAGCATCAAATCACAAGTAAATGATTGGGATTCTTTGATTAAATTATTAGAAAGAGATTTCTTACCAGGAGACATCGATGAAGATATTTGGGAACAGATCAAAAAACGTAAGCAAAAAAGGAACGAATCAGTTGCTGTTTCCTTTGCACATTTGGATAATCTTTTTAGTCGCTTATCTCGTCCACCAGCTGAAGTCACGAAAATAAACTATATTAGAAAGAACTTATTATCAGAATATATCAGTCAGCTAGCTCTCTTAGAGGTTAATACCATTGTAGATTTAGCAACACTTTGCAGAAAATTGGAGGAAACTAATCATCTTTTGAATAAACACTCTGTCCCTCAGGTGTCGAATCTTTATGAAAATCCAAGTCCTGGAGAATCAGGTTTTTCCCATTCTGATAGAAATAGAAATTCTAACGGTAATTTTACTGACCGAAGTAGCAATTTTAGGAGTCAGAACAGACAATATAATAATTCGAATAGACAGAATAGGTCTTCTGATAATCAAAATTTGAGAAATTCAAATAATAGTGGCAACAGAAATGGAAGGCCTTTCACAAATACAAATTCTTCACGAAATACTCCTCGAAATTTCTCGCAAAATACTTCTCACAACACTTCACAAAATACTTCACAAAATACTTTACAAAATACTTTACAAAATACTTTACAAAATACTTCACAAACTTATTCCCCAAGTACTTCACAAAATGTTCCTCAAAGTACTTCAGTAAATGCAGTAAAATGCTGGAATTGTGGATTATTGAATCATACCTTTTATAATTGTTGTGCAAAAAGGAAAATATTCTGTCACAAATGCGGGTTGCCTGAGGTCACTAAGACAAATTGTCCTATCTGTACAAAAAACAGTTAGGGGGTTGTACGCGTTATGGTCGGCGCACTGCCCGTAACTCAGAAAGGACCATTCAATATAAAGTTGATAACTACTGTAAATACGACGATTCTTCTTCTAGCACTGATAACGCTGAGTTGACTCTGAATAGTACCAGCCTAAGTTCATGCCCTAGCTCTGATAGTTTGAACGGCCACAACAATATTGATGAGGTTTCTCCTCTTTTCGTTAAAAAACCAACT